TTTCCATCTTATTTCTTCCCTCCAAATCATCATATCAGCAATATCATGGTCTGCACCACTCTCATCCCTCTTACTTATCTCTTCCTTCGACGAATAGACTCAAATATGTGAAATAAGTGAGATTCAGGAGATGCGGATTTGATTCTGTTCTAATACCCTCAATTACGGTCAGGGGGGAGTAGGAGAGGAATCGAGGGGGAGCGTATGAGTAGATTTTGGCTCTAAATATTTTCCGGAAGCCGAAGTGAAAAGGACAAGAGAAGCCTGTCGCTGAGTCGGCTTGACAATCTCTAGCGAACGTCGTACAGCTCGGGGACGATCATGGATGCCTATTTTGAGGTTTTCTTAAATCCAGTTCGCCGAATCTCTCCGGTTGCAACTCTAATAGATAAAATTAAAGTCCTGATAAAGGAGCGAGGCACTTGTCCCGATATAGATTCCACTTCTTTTGTTATCACTGGCTCTCTCGCTACTTCTCGCTCCAAGAGATCTACGCCCACTCGGTAGAGAGACCTCAGCCCGGCGGCGCTCTTCAAGGTCTTCTTCGCTCGGAGACTGCGCGACTGACTGGAATCCATTTAGAAGTGAGTGTCTTCCCAGAGGAGCCTCGAGGAGCTGGGAAATTCTCGATCAGAGACTCCCGGCCAGGTAGCATTTCGATTATAATTTCCAGAGCAAATTTTTTTATGCTAAATTTGTTATCTGTTGAAATAACGAAATACAGGGAAAACGTCAGATTAGTAATTTTTTCAGCACCTCATGAATGTCATTACTAACGATAATTTAAACTAAAATGACATACCAAAATCAATAAACCGGGATTAATGTAAAATGTTAAATGCACTAAGGGATTTACGTAAGACGATTCTGCATGTCCCTTCTTTCCGCTTTGATTAGCTTCCTTCAGATTCCTTTCATTTATTTGTACCAAATGAAAGATAAGCAGAATGAAGTCGTATTGGAGCTTACGCCGAGCTGGTCATGGAGCCAGCTGCATGTACCACTCTGTGCTTTGACATTTCAACCGGAATTGGCCAAGTGACCCAGTTTGGATTCGTATCATCCTGATCATCAGATACACAAATTCTCCAGATGGCAAAAAGTAAACGTACTTTTCACTCATTTCAAAGACTTCACACCCTGAAAATAATTGTAAATTAGTTTGAACTAATTCAATCGGAGTTCATATCATACTGGAAATCAGATGCTAAATGGTTCGAATCTGAGTATTTGTCAAATCAAGAAGGCATTCTTTCAAGGGATTAGCGCGATAAGGACTATACGTAAATGCATATATTTTCGCGCAAATATTAATGCACGGATGCAGTGAAATTTTTAGCATACAGCGAAATTCCTAAAGCTGTCCCCTCATACATGTTTACATCTTTTATATTAAAAAAATTCTTAATCTTGTTTTATCAGAGTCGCACCCTATTTTGCATGAAAGTCACCTTTAGATGAGCTATCAGATCCAGTCACCCTTCGGTCTGCGGCTGTATTGACTGCATTTTCCGAGGTTCAATCCAGTGCGTTGCTACAAATGAAGCCGTTCATAACTCACAAAACATGAAAAGATATGAATTTACATAGAAATGGAAGTCTTATGCATATTGATCAAATTAATAGTTCATTAAATTTTAGCGCGCCGTCCTCTCTTGTTTCATTTATTTAGGTTCTTAACTGCATGCATTCTAAAAAAAAAGTTACATATTTACTTCCTCGAAAAAAGTAGCGAGTTGAAAGAGTCAATTTAGAAGTACTTCGATTGAGACGTAAACGAAATGTGCATAAATTAATGACAGAAAAATAACCACTTGAACTTACTTGATTCATGCTGAAGTGGCGTTGTGCCAAATTCTTTCAAAGAATTTGGCACAACGCCATAGCTTTGTCTTCAAGTCTGTCTACATTCACATCCTCGCCTATGGTCATGAGTGTTGGCTAATGACCGAAAGAGTGAGGTTGCAAATGCAAGGGGCTGAGAATAATATCCTAAGTATTGCTGATGTAACGAAACTCGACAGGTTTCGGAACACAGGAATCCGGGAATCACTCGGGTGTGAACCTCTTCTCCAATTTGAGAGATCACAATTACGAACATGGTCAGGATGCCACGAAAAAGACGTGCAAGGCAACCCTTTCTGTTCGACAGGTTTCGGAACACAGGAATCCGGGAATCACTCGGGTGTGAACCTCTTCTCCAATTTGAGAGATCACAATTACGAACATGGTCAGGATGCCACGAAAAAGAAGTGCAAGGCAACCCTTTCTGCTAAGCCAGAGGGAAAGAGACAAAGGAGCATACCAAAGACTAGGTGGTCAGAATATACTGAAGACCTGGCATGGTCACGTCTTGGAACCAGAAGGACTTGCCAAATTGGCCGAGGGCCGGAGCAATTGGAAGACTCTCCAGAAGCTGCTGTACCAGAAACCCTAAAGAAATAGCGGGTATTGAAGATGGATGGAAGGATGGACGGGTTTCTCACCCTAAACTCAGCTTCCCGTGAACATATTAGACCTTCCCTCGCGGGAAGACCCCAGGCTGTCGTTCACGTTGAGTCACCTGTACCTTCGGTTCTTCTTTGGTCATTCTCAAGGGCAGCAAAGGAACTCTTCGAGATCGCACAATAATTTACATACTGTGTAACAGACATTGTCTATCTCATTTCCAACACTATCTGCACATCCCAATTTAAAATAGGTGAAACTGGACGTTAGACGATCGTTTTCTGGATCCTCTTTTGGGGGATTTCAACTAAGCATTCGCAGTCTTTCCATCTTATTTCTTCCCTCCAAATCATCATATCAGCAATATCATGGTCTGCACCACTCTCATCCCTCTTACTTATCTCTTCCTTCGACGAATAGACTCAAATATGTGAAATAAGTGAGATTCAGGAGATGCGGATTTGATTCTGTTCTAATATCCTCAATTACGGTCAGGGGGGAGTAGGAGAGGAATCGAGGGGGAGCGTATGAGTAGATTTTGGTTCTAAATATTTTCCGGAAGCCGAAGTGAAAAGGACAAGAGAAGCCTATCGCTGAGTCGGCTTGACAATCTCTAGCGAACGTCGTACAGCTCGGGGACGATCATGGATGCCTATTTTGAGGTTTTCTTAAATCCAGTTCGCCGAATCTCTCCTGTTGCAATTCTAATAGATAAAATTAAAGTCCTGATGAAGGAGCGGGGCACTTGTCCCGATATAGATTCCACTTCTCTTGTTATCACTGGCTCTCTCGCTACTTCTCGCTCCAAGAGATCTACGCCCACTCGGTAGAGAGACCTCAGCCCGGCGGCGCTGTTCAAGGTCTTCTTCGCTCGGAGACTGCGCGACTGACTCTGGAATCCATTTAGAAGTGAGTGTCTTCCCAGAGGAGCCTCGAGGAGCTGGGAAATTCTCGATCAGAGACTCCCGGCCAGGTAGCATTTCGATTATAATTTCCAGAGCAAATTTTTTAATGCTAAATTTGTTATCTGTTGAAATAACGAAATACAGGGAAAACCTCAGATTAGTCATTTTTTCAGCACCTCATGAATGTCATTACTAACGATAATTTAAACTAAAATGACATACCAAAATCAATAAACCGGGATTAATGTAAATTGTTAAATGCACTAAGGGATTTATGTAAGACGATTCTGCATGTCCCTTCTTTCCGCTTTGATTAACTTCCTTCAGATTCCTTTCATTTATTTGTACCAAATGAAAAATAAGCAGAATGAAGTCGTATTGGAGCTTACGCCGAGCTGGTCATGGAGCCAGCTGCATGTACCACTCTGTGCTTTGACATTTCAACCGGAATTGGCCAAGTGACCCAGTTTGGATTCGTATCATCCCCTTTTTTGTTCTCTGTTAGTACGTAATTTGCGAGACGAGATTTGCCTTCGTGTAAAGAGTCGTGGCGTGCATTAAAGGGTATCTTCAAAGCTGCATTTCCTGGGATCCATGAAATATCAACGAATGTTTTAAATTTGCCATCATACGTTTTTTCTCGGGCTGGGCATGTGTATCGGCTACCACCTGTGTCGGCAGCCGGTATTACATTGTCGGTGTCACTGGCCATCGGCAGGTGTGCAAGATGCTGGTGCCGATGCCTAAAGGAGAGGCAAAACCCACAGGCAATACTTGCAAAAAATTGAAGTTTATGTGTGAACCCGAAAAATATGAATCTGATTTTATTACAGCCATATTCTAGGAACTGGCGGAGTAAAATGGTAGTAACGAACGGGAAATAATTGCACCTTCTTTTATGTTATGTTTTTGCAAGAGATGTTTCGTTAAACGCTCTTAGCAGCAACAAAAGGTAGCATGCTATCCAATGACGGACACTGAACTATAGAAATAAATTGGGTCTCTATGGTTTATAGGGAGCCCTAGAAGTGTTGCATGGCTTCCATATAAGCCTGTTTGATTAAGTATGCAATTTCATGCTACTTCCCAATTTTCAGGCGGCATTCGGCACTGTCCGATAGTTATGAGATGAAAATCGGCCACCGACCGCAGGTGACCATCGTTTTTTTTTTTACTTTTTTTCTATGGGGTTACTTTATGCAGAAAATGGATCGGAAATACCAGCTCGCCTCGACTCCTCACGCTTCTATTTCTGTCTCATCAAATTCATGTTGAACGGGTAATAACGTTCTTAGAACCGAACTCCTCTCTGCGGATGCATTTAGTATGTGATCTCAATTTCTTATTCTTTATTTCTGATACTTGTTTTCCTCCTTCAGAGGAAAGTAAGTGCCTTTCTGACTATATCGCACCGGCTGAAGGTTGAGAGCAAGCGAGGCCTTTTCAATCTCGAGTGGGGAGACATAAGCCTCCCCACTCGATCGAGGAATATGCTTGAGCATGCCCTCTCCGATGCCGAGCGGATAGTCGCCGTATATACCGTGTTCATACGGAGGACGCTCCGTCCCGCCGTGGACGAAATTCGCTCGGGCTTGCTGCGTGCAGACAGAGGGAGAAAAAGATCTGGATTTTCTCAGTCGTTTCTCTCCTAATGATCTGTCCTTGGCGGTCGTGGTCTCTGAGCTGACATCATTTGAGTTGCCTTGGTTCATTTGGCAATTATAAACTTTCGACGAACTTGAATCATGAATAATTAGGTATCGGATAATCACAAGCAGAGCAATTTGAACACCTGGAACCTATCCCTCTCAATGAGGCAGATAAATGGATTATGAACTTAAGTTATTCGCTCGAAATGCTTTGCGCTAGAGCGGAAGTGCATGATTTTTTAAGAAAAATATTCCTCTAATGTGGTGATTTCGTTCTCGTTTGGCAATTCAAGATACGTGCCACCTCCTGCGACGCTAACACCAAATCGATGCAACTCAAACGTAATTTTCCTACTTCTCCAAGTGAAGTTGTTGTCGTAGGTGCAAGGGACTCCTTTTAATACAGGATTTTGACATCTTGTCTCGCCTTAGCGAGAAAAGTCTGCTCAAGCTGATTTCACTCATCAATTATCGCCAAAATTGTGTAACGTATCTCCCACGGAACGGCTCCTGTTCCCCGAAGCCCTTGTAGGGAGAAGTGGCTTGCCCTCAAGAGCAGCGGGGGGTGATAGCGTCGAGTGCTTCCTTTGCCTGACATCTACTTGACGGAATGACGAGGCTGATGGAAGGCGGATTCGGAATCAGAAGGATTTTTAATCTGGTGGACGTACCTCCAACAGATGGGTTCACTTTAAAGGGACATCCACGGGGTTCCAAATCCCCCTGGAAGATGGGCGTTTTGTACAGGAACGGTCTGACCTTTCAAGCCTTTGTTTTCGGTTGGGTGCGTGGTTCAACTACGCGCAACGATTCGCATGATCTGCACTTGCCATTATTCTCTAGTCGTTGAGAAAGATTCTCAAGCAGGTGATCTTGTCTGTCCGTGATGGTTTTCACGGGAAGAGGACGAAAATAACGATAAAATTTTCGGAATGTCTTTCAACTGGAACCGACGATTAATCGCGATACTCAGATTCCTTGTATATCTGACCGACCTGAGTTGAATTGTATTCCGAGTTAATGAGCCGGTGATGAGAGAATCGTGGGTCAAGCTTTCACTGCTCCATGCCTGATTTTTTTCTCGACGAGATTGGGAAGGCCTACATTTGTAAAATTAAGATCTCGGGTACAAATAAAATGGAGGGAGAGTTGAAGCTTAAATTGGCAACGAATTGAATCTGCGCTGAATTCCGTTAAGCCGCGAGGCACCTGGCTCCAGGTCCTAATGGTCGTGAGTCGGATTTGAACCCCGATGCATGAAAGCAGAGTCGAGACTGGCTCGAAATCAGTTGGGATTGATTCGACTCCATGCATCACGCAGGTTGCGAAGTGCCTTCGGGAGGCCACGGATGATGGAAACTGCGAAGCAGTGCTGGCATTTCGTCAAATCGTCCCTCTTCGAGTATGAGCTGCCGGAGACGCAGACGATGCCGGTCCCCGGCCGACGAACCAGTACCAAAGTCGGATTCGTCTATCGCATCTTCCAGCTCTTGATTATCATTTACTTTTTCTGGTAACTATCTCTCTGCCTCTCTCTTTAAACACTGTCATAGGGCTTTCTAATGATATGTAAACGGACTGGCGAGATACTTAGCTTAGTTAATTAATATCCTGTTGCTTTCCTAGCAGGCTGGAGAAAAAGATTTCATCCGGCCCGCAGCAAGATTCAAGTTTATTCTAAATTGTGCGAACAGAGTCCGCACTAGATGGCTCCATTTAACATAATGCTTACAAAACTTTTTTAACACGAAATGGTTGTCCCTATTGGCATGTGCAAAAAAGTGTGTCGTATATTATAATATGATATCAAAGTGAGTTCAAATGAACCTTCGAGTATAAAATGTGTCAATTCGACACCTAATTTAAATTTAATTTTTTACATAATATATTTCAAATGTAACGCTAGTTGACCTCACGTTATAAGCAGATGTCAATTAACAGCAGTTGGCTAATCTGCGGATTGATGCCGAAACACTGAGAGCTTTTGGCACAACGTAAGTGCCAGAAATTCGACGCACCTTCTGGCGCATCGCAAGTGTGACATAAAAGGGACAAAAAAGTTTTGTTTGCGGAAAAGCTGTCAGTGAAGATAATTTGCTTTCTTCAATTTCATCCTCTTTTCCCTCGAGTGGGATGTGTATTCGTTAAATCGTTTAGTTTCGTTAAGTCAAGGAAGGGAGCCATCTATGAGGGCCGTACGCGGGAAGGTGATTTTCCTCCATTGTCGATCTGGTCGATAATTGATAGTCCATATAATCTTTACTTTTCATAGAATGTTTTCATTTGCATGCTCGACAGTACATCTGCTAGAGCAGTGGGAGATACAGAAATTATTCATAGATAGGCGCTTCTATTAGGTTGTCCCAAAAGTTTATTTCGTAATTCGCGCGAATGGGGTTGCTAGGCAATAGAACAGCGGATATTGCGTTCTGCCGGCTCTTTTTTGTTTTTTTTTTCACGTCCACGTGTCTTTTCTCTTCCTGACTGTGTTTTGTTTGTGGATAAACCGCTTCATTATTTTCGTGTGCGTGCTGAAAAATGGATAGCCAGAGGAGACATTTTCGGCATGTGATATTGCGCTGCTTCATAAAAGGGAACATCGGGGCTGAGGAAACTGCAAGTGAGATTTGCGGCGTTTACGGGGACCATGCTGTGGCTGTCCAGACCGTTCGCACTCTGTCACGCTTGTCACGCACTCTGAATCTTCTGAACCAAGTGCGAACGGTCGAAAATAATGAAGCGGTTTATCCGCAAACAAAACACACTGTCAGGAAGAGAAAAGACACGTGAACGTGAAAAAAAAGAGCCGGCAGAACGCACTATCCGCTGTTCTATTGCCTAGCAACGCCATTCGCGCGAATTACGAAATAAACTTTTGGGACAACCTAATATAATCTCCCCCCCCCCCCCTCAGCACCTCAGTATCCGTCTTTGTGTTGGGGGGAAGGGGGGTGGAGGAAGGACCCATATGACAAACGAACCATCAATTAGCATTGTATGAACGCTAAGTTTGAACCTTCCCAGCGTTGTGGTTACATTGCATCAAGCATTTGATTCATTATTTGAATGTCGCTAATGGCATTACTTGTAGGAACGTTGAAGTTCAACACCGACTGAACGTCGATTCAATATTGTTATGTCACTTATTGAAACGCTCACTAACCCACCCCAGTAGCACCAGATATTGGCGCAATGATGAACCAAAATTGGCCACGTTGGCTACACCTTGGCCAATATTGGTTTCCCTTTTTTTCCTGTTCATCGTCGATCCAATATCGGATTGATTCGATCATACAACTACACTTAGGAACGTTTTTTGGGAAAAGTTGAAGTTCTCCTCCAGGTCACTTGATGGAGGTATGGGATTCGCATTTCGCATAATACAGAAAACTGCGCAATCCTCTATCCATGAAAACATTCCTAACATGAGTGTTTTCTAATTTCCCATATTGCCTTGCCTCATTATAGCAATTGATAAACTTGGTCACTTATTAATTTGCTATCTCCATACTCGAGACAGAATCATGGAGCCCAGGTCATGAAGAAGCTCATATTCCCTATGAAGAAATACGCCTTCAGCATCACTGCGTCCACTCTTGATAGGTACATTAAGGGAAAATCAGGTCTGGCATTGTGTGGCTCTTGCCAACCCAAGAGACAGACGTGTACAGAGGCAGATTTTTATACTAATGCCGGCAGTACTAGTGCTGAATATGTAAGTGTCTCTACCATGGGAAAACCTCTTCTCGGTAATGAATTTAGATCAAATAGCAGCTCCAATGTTTCCCTCGATAGTCATCCCATTGATTAGTTTAATCCCGGGGTTTTGAAAACCAAGAAACTATCTATAATTGTAAAATCCTACAAATCCTATAGGTCAAGCGTCTTATGGGAACCAATAGGAATCCCACAAGTTTTGATGTTTCAAGAACCAATAGGAAAAGTCTACAGGTTTCCTGTAGGACTTTTCATAAGGGGTGTCAGCTACCTGTTTTTTCCTTATCCGTCTCTTGTGAAATGCAAGATCAACAGAAGAAGATAATCAACATGGTCACTCTTTTGATTTTGTGATCGTGATAATAGTATGATACAATATAAAATATCATACTTTCTTAATCCCGAGTCCGTTAGATAGTCCACCTCACACAATGTGAGTTTGGAAAATATATTTCCTCTAGTTCCCTGGAATGTGCTTCTGAAAAAGTAATCCTTTCCTAAAAAAAAAAGGTTCTCCAAAGGGGGAAAAGCATATTCGAGAGTAACGGATATGTTGTAGGTACCAAGGCTTCTACATACAGGGTTTCTACGAAAAACTCGACTTTGACAGTACCATCAAGTTGAATTTGGAGGATGCCCCATTCGACAACTCCACCGAGGACCATCTCGTTCGTTGGCCTTCCTTCTTCGCCTGCTGAAATTTATTGCCCATATGGAGGACTTTTTAATCCATCTTTCAGGTTCCCCAGGAGTTCAGGCAAACGTACCGGGAGATCGCCAACACGCTGGAGCAGGAGATCCCCGCGTCGGAGGAAGACGTCTTCTTCGTCGCTACCGGCGTCGTGATCGCTCCGAAGCAGATCGTCGGACTCTGTCCCGAGGTCAGACGCGTCCATACGGGATTCGCTTTGCAGGAAAGAACTTCAACAGACGTAAAGAATTCCGTGTTGGGATGACTTCTAAAGTGAACTACGCTTAGAATGGTGCAAGAGATATACGAGGTCTGGTCAAAAAGTTCTACGACTTTATTTAAAGGAAAAAAAGTATGGTACATACAACATTTTTACAAGCGGTTCCCTTCAAAGTAGTCTCCCTTGATGATATACAAGTGTCCCAACGTTGTTGCCACTTCTTGAAGCATTGCTGGTAGTTTTCAACTGTGAGCCTGTCGAGTTCTGCTTTCGCATTCTGTTGGATGGTTGGGATGTCACCAAATCTTTGTCCTTTGAGTTTCATTTTAATTTTTGGGAAGAGGAAAAAGCCACAAGGGGCAATATCAGGTGAATATGGAGAGTGGGGCACAACGGGAATGTTCATTTTGGCCAAAAACTCTTGAATGGAGAGGGCGGTGTGTGCAGGAGCATTGTCATGGTGGAGAAACCATCCACCCTTTTCAAACAGCTTTTCTCCGAACTTTTCCCTTAATCAAATTAGAACCGCTTCATAATAGGCCTGGTTTACCGTCTGACCAGTCGAAACAAATTCGTAGTGCACGATGCCCTGAATGTCAAAAAAATCAACTGTTTTCACATTTGACCGAACCTGTCCATCTTTTTTTGGACGGGGCGAGTTTGGTGACTTCCACTGGGACGACTGGAATTTTGTCTCGTGGTCATAACCGTACACCCATGTTTCATCACCAGTCACAATGCAATTGATGAAATTAGGGTCCGTTTCCGCCCTTCTTTTCAGCTTCTTGCACAGTTCTTGACGGTGGACCTTTTGGTCATCGGTCAACAATCTTGGAACAAATTTTGCGGAGACTCGATGCATGCCAAGATTGTCGGTGAAAATTTCCTGCCACGATCCGAAGGAGATCCCCAGTTCATCAGCAATTTCTCGAATGGTCAATCGCCAATCAGAACGAATTGTTTCATTCACTTTAGCAACAATATTGTCACTGCGTGATGTTAAAGGTCGATCTGAACATGGGCCATCTTCAACGGATTCTCGGCCATCTTGGAAACGGTTTATCCACTGATAAACGGCAGCCTTACAAAAGCAAGCATCACTAAATGCAGTTCCTAACATAAGGAGAATTTCCGCTCCGTTTTTCCCGTTCTTCACACAAAACTTGATGCACACACGTTGTTCTTCTTTCGTATCCATTACGATTGCGACAGGGGACCAAGACACGTCTCACCTTGAACAAGCTTTACTCAGCACTGGTTTGATGGAGGCGGAAGCGACTCGACCCAGGGATGTGATGATTCCTCCCCTAATTAGACTCATCATTTTGGCGCACTACCTCTACCGCTCCTTTTGTACATGCATTAAAGTCTTAGAACTTTTTGATCAGACCTTGGATGACACTAGCGAGTTTCTTTGCCCTTGGTCGAGCCTTTGGCGCTCGAGTACATAGGATAGTGATTAATACATTAATTCATTTGCGAAATGGCAAAAGCAAAGTTAAAGAACGTCCCCGTGTGTCATATGGGGACGAAAGCGAAAATACTATTGCATATACTGTGGGTACAGTATATGCAATGGCCAGTAATCAGTTGGTAAGCAGTTATATCATAATGTTTCCTTAATATGTCCTTAGAATGGGAGGCACTGAGATCTTGTTAAAAACAGTGATTGAAAGGGAAATGTACGGCGCATCAAAGGTATCTCGTGTCATCACGTGAATAGAATAAAAAAAAGGAAGATAATCACCTCCTTGGAAAGAACTCAGAAGTCATGATAACTAACAAATAGGCATGCATACGAGTAACCCATGACGACACCACCACGATGCAGATGAATCAGTCACATCATTGTCCTACTCGACAGGGGTAAATATACCTGGAAATTTCTTTGATCACATATTTTCGCGGAACCGATCATAAAGAGCAATAGAGTCAAGCTTGACCCATATCATGCTCACGGTTTACTATCTGTAGCTCCCAGGTTCGATTCGTGACAATAGCAATCTCGGTCTTAGGATCCCACAGTGCCAGGAGCGATATGCGATCCAAGCTCCCCCAATCCCTGCCCAGCTGGAAAAACTCTCTGGAACGGGAGGACGACGGGTCGCTGCATCGCCAGCGATCGGGGGAATTCCACTTGCGAGATCCGCGCCTGGTGTCCCGTGGAGAACGACGAGAATCTTGAGTCTGTTCCTGTTCTCGATTCTCCCTCCCCGGCGTTGTGTCGCTTCAATAAGTTGATTCTGCATCGCAGGGGCAGAGTGGTCCTCATGCAGGATGTGATGAATCGCACCGTTTTCCTCAAGAACTTCGTATCCTTCCCTAATTCCGGGAATGGCAGTCGCAGGTGGGAGGCTGCAAAAACCTCATGAATATAGCAACATTGGCAACCAGTTAAGAAATAGATGTGGTTTCTTCAGAGAGTTGCGAAAATGTTCCCTGGAGTGTAGCAAGTACGATCCGTCGGCGTACCAGATGTTTGGCACTGCCATAGAGATATAAGATGACGTAAAACCCAAAAGAATAGAATCACAGTGATCTAGAGATAGTCTTTTTTCATTCCGATTCAGAAGTTTCATTCGAATCACTACAAGTTTGAGAAGATGCAACGTGAATCTTTCTTCAGGGGAAACATCCCAAAGGCGCATGGGGTCGGTCAGGTCCTCAAGTGTCATTTTCACCCAGACCAGGATCCGCACTGTCCCGTGTTTACTGTTGGGACCATCCTCGAGGGAGCTGGCATAGAAAACTTCAAGGACATCGTCGTTTCGGTAAGTAGCAACTACTTCATTATCGAGACGACCTGAATCTTTGTATCCGAATGGGATCAGGGCGGAGTGATGTCGATTGACATTTCGTGGGACTGCAAGCTGGGAAACGACCAGGAATGCCTGCCGAATTACGAGTTCCACAGACTCGACGATCCCAAGACGAAGATCGCCTCCGGCTTCAACTTTCGGTGACCATTTCGAGTCTATCTTCACCCTGCCGCAGCTTGCTCACCTAGATCTTGTTTCATGTCTCTAGGTATCAACAGTACCACAACGAGACCGTTCGCTCTCGCTTCGCGATCGTCGGTATCAGGTTCGAGGTGAAAGTGAGCGTCCAAGAAAGCCAGTTAAGTCCGACTCCAATCGTCCGCGATGTTGGGTCCTGCGTTGGCGTCCTCATGTTGGTCGGTTCTGTTTCTACTCATCTTAGTACGTGTTTTACCCTTTCAGTCCTTGTGGGACTCAGGAGTACTTTTTGGTATATTTTGAAACGTAGTATGTGAAATCAGATTCCTCTGACTTCTACGGGGATTTGTAATTGTATTGTTCTAATTAGTAATGTTTTGCTATTTTGTGAGTTGTATTTCTGTGGCCAATGACGCTTCATTTTGTATGGTTGACTGAGGAAATTAGTTTTGGCAGTGTATCCACTTTCAAATTCAGGACTGGAATGCTTTATGATGAATTATGAGATGCTACGTTCCGATTTTATTAGGCAGAAGTACAGGTATGAGAGGATACATGAATATGAATTGTTCCAAATTTGGAAATTTGGATCAAAATGTACCAAAACGCATTTAAATTATTGCAAGTTCTACAGTCTTTGGCAGACTTGAAGTTAAATTTTGGACATCAATTTGAATTTCCGATTTGGAACAACACAGGATGTGGTAAAAAAAAAAACAAGTTATAGAAAATTATTCGCTTTTATGGAAGGAAAATTCACTACCCATTGCTCGTTACCTTACGAGGGCCCCTGTCCTGACATTACCCCACCAAAAGTTTCATTCGTGCAATAAATTGAGCAAATGTGATCACCAAGGATTCAACAGCATTACTTTTGACGTGGATGCTCCTGTACGGGCACCAGGGCTGGGTAACGAAATCGATTTCGTTTCTGTTTCTGTCTCGTTTCTTACAACCCCTATGTATTTCGTTTCTGTTTCCGTTTCTGTTTCTTCGATTTCTTTTCTGTTTCTATTTTGTTACAATTACGTTACCAATTTCGTTTCATTTTATTTCTGATCCTTTCCGTAAGATTGCAAAATGGCAATAAGATCACCAGCCAAATCTCAAAATGTACTACGTCAGGCCAAATTGCTCCCAATTGCTACGCACCAGAAGCATATTGTCGACTGATGTCGCATACAGGCTTGAATGCTAGGAGATTGATGTCGCATTCAGGCTTGAATGCTAAGTCTGGAGAAAAGGAATTTAGGTTCTGGGGATGACCAAGACACAAGCAATTTTCCTTTCATCGAAAGAGACATCTGCCTTGTTTCTGCCCCCATTCTCTCCATTATTTCTCTCACATTAGCAGTGAAGCCTGAAACAATCTTCATCTGCAAATATTTGTGGAAAATGTCAGATACTGAGATCAATTTTTCGCAATGTATTATTATTATTATTATTCAGCTCTTTCGCAGTTGCCATAGTAGCCTACGCCCGTTCGCCGTGGTCAGCCTGGCCCGGTATGTTACGTAACCGACCAGGACTGCCTTTTTAGCAGTCGTACTTGACAGATCCACTGTTAAAAATAGAAGAGAGGTTGCAGTGCCAACATGAACAGAGTTCCTGACCATTGTCGCCCTATTCCGGTCAGCAAAACAATGTTGCATCAACGTTGAGCAAGGATTGCTCTTTTGACGCAGTAATTTTATAACATTGCGTAAAAGGTGTTTATATGCTACCACAATGCTGAGATGAGACACAGTTGAGCATTTGCGCTCAAGCATGCCCGTGAATATACGCTAATGTGTCGCATTGTTACCGCGTTTAACCCACAAAGTCTTGGCCTGCTCATTTTCTCAGAATTGAATATTTTATTATTAGGAATAATGATCTCGTATCCTGAAATATTGTTATACCAGCTTCAAGGTAGTCGAGCAAATACTTCCATCCGTGGTTGATTCAATGGGAAGTTGGAACTTCTTTACATGATTAAAATCATAGTTGTAATATTAATAACGTAACACGTTTTGTCCAGCAACGATGTTAAGTGTCTGATATCGTCTTTTGGGCAATCTCCCTCCTTCGCTGGAGAACAGCCTTTTCTATTTCGTTTCTGTTCTTTTGGTTCTGTTTCGTTACAGCCTCGAATTCCGTTTCTGTTTCGTTTCTCATTTCGTTTCTGTTTCGTTACCCAGCCCTGAGGGGCACCAAACCCGAACTGTACTGGAAACCCCACAAGAGCACTCCAGGAAATTAAAACCTGAAAGGCAAGGACCGGATCGAGACAGAGGTGTGCTTTGCATCATGACTTCCTTCGTTGTGCGATTGCGCGATCGAAAAACGAAGAGTTGAATCATTTAACTCTGAAGTCATGGCATTTCGTGTTTTGTTCCAACACAGTTGAAGGTGCTATACAACCGCCTCTTGAAATTCCGTGACATCTTCGCGAAAGTCATCGGGCACGTTTGCTGCTGTTCTGAAAATTCCGAAACTGAGGTAAGTAACACCATTTCCCTTAATCCTGTCTTTTTTAAATTTCATTTGTCCTATTTTTGTGTTTTTTATTTTTGATTTTGTCTGCGGAAATTAAGGAACTTTTGAATTTTAACTTGCTTTCACAAAGAAAATCAAACTTTACTCAACTTATTCTTCCAATGAATGTTTCTAATTTAACCTATAGTTAATTCAGAGAAATCCTCTTGGCTTTCTTAACTTCGTAATAGCATCACCACAATGATCTAAGTTCTCCAGGTAACTGGAAATGAAAGATCTGATGCGTCATACTGTCAAAATGTGTGAGGCAATGTGTACACTCCCTTTCTCCATCGGTAGAAGTTTAAGGCCGGTGAATGGTAGGGGTAATTTTGGCTTAGACGAATAGTAATTTTTCTCCCTTCCTTACAGGCACACGTCGACCAGGAGCCGTTAATGGAAGATGACAAATCCGCGGAGGATACTTTTGGGAATGTCTGATATTTCGAGATTCCTTCAGGTCTATTCATGTCGACACTCCTAGTCAATATCTAAATTTTTTACATTTTGTTTCATACGATCTAACGGCGGTGCCTAAATTGTGGGAACGATGTTCATTATTTCCATTCAATCGTCATGTTCCTAATGTCGGTCAACATGCTGTCTTTGAGCAAGGTGTCGGACGACGAAACTCATATGATAGAAACGAACCAATAAAGATTAATTTTTCCTTTTTTCTCTGCTTGTATTTATACGACCTTTTTATCATGAAGTCGATGAAATAGACAATTTTTTCCCTATTTTTGCATTAGTCTCGGGTTGTCGGTTGAAGTAATTGTAATTTCATCTCAAGTGTTCGAGACCTCGTTGAATTAAGCATGGACGAGAAAACTCCCGAACACCCGAACTCATTCAAAAATGAGTTCTTCGATGCTAGCAATCATGTTGATGCTCGTTCATCCAGGAACTTCTTTGCCTGCTTATCGCATCCGAGAAACTTGATATCGTTGCAAAGCTTGAACCGTCGGAAAGTTCCACATCTCACATTTGTCTCGTTTCAACTAAATCGGACGGAACTACAACCTATTTAGGGTCGCAAATGTCCCAGTAATTGATCATGTTAGTAACTGCGAGAAGCAAATTTGATATTGCAAAGGGTTTGTCACCACTTTCGTGAGGTGATGGTCTGAGATGAGAAAATGAGACAATTGGAATTCCAGAACACTTTATTTGACTGTCCAAGAAGACAAAAAAAATATCGCGAGTTTCCTAGATGCTAATTTGCTTAATTTCTTCGAAGATATTGATGTCCCATTTTCCCTATAATTTTTACATGGGACCTTTCTTTGCCCTCTTGCTGTTCAAAGAGAGTTTGAGCAAACACACCAGTCCTCATCAAGGTCTTAGATTTGCAATCCACCAGTTAGTTTCATTAAAAATAAAAACATTCAGAATGATAGCATATTTGGCATCACTAGCTAATGTTAGGTCCATGGCGAAATTTCTTTTTTTTTCCATGTTCTTGGCCATTAATCGCCACCTCACTTCTGGTCAGGGATTCTTCTTTCTTCGTTTGTTTTCCCAGATGTCTCACGAAGCATCTGATGATGTAACTCTGACCAGATGTCTTCGCAATATTCGTATTTTAAACGTCGTTAACTCTATATTGAAGTATCCTTTTTCGTCACCCTTTTAGCAAAATCCAACAGATTCAAGGGGGAAATGAATACCACACATCATAAACCCAGTCCCAGGTCAAGTTCAGCATGAAGGGGAATAGAAATGATTTCATCAGCCGGTTTCTTCATCTCTGTGGAAGTTCATCATTTCAATAGAAGTTTGGCAAACAGGAAGAACAATCATATAGACTTTTAGTTGAACGATGAACTGAAAGGAGTTCGCCCGAGGCATGAGATCTAGGATCTCAAGTCCGAATTTGGCATCAGAGCAATTTTTTTAGGAGGGTATCCACAGAATTCAGGTAGGCATCTCTTACTTAACACTTTCGCTGCTAGCCCGAGTAAATACTCGTGTTGCGTGCGCTGCTTGTGTGCTGGTAGCCTGAGTACGTACTCGGGTTCTAACCATTTGCTGTTTCGAGGGTATCTTACCGCTATTTATTCATGTAACTGCTGTCTGATAGGTATCGTTCGAACCACGAGTTCCAGTTCTATGCGACAGTGCTGCTCCTTTCCATGAATGTGACTTTGGGCATCACTTGAATGATGAAATTTTGGAAAATGTAGAGTTCGGTGGGAAATGTTTCCCACAGCATTCTACTACACATCTTCTCAGTGCCGGAAAATGAACAACCCAAATGTGGGGGAATCCAAGTCTCAGATACATCAACGGCCGGCAATATACGTCAGCTCATACGGATGCAGGAAGGCAAGGATCATGCAGCCAACTGCACAGTCACTGAAAAAGGCGATTGAGATCGCTCCAGCAAATTTGGAGCTCTATCTCCCCAGGGAGATAGAGGTGGATGGAGAACATTATGGAGAACACTGAATATTCAGCACTTCATAAAGAAGTGTTCTGTTGTTCCCTCAAGAACAGAGAATCTCTTTTTTTTTAATGTGAACTTCACTCCGTTATTTTTTTTAATCCCCTACCTGAATATCCACTCCTGGGAGATGGGGGGGGGAGGGATTTTCGGAAGAAAGAGACTAGGGTGAGTGCTACGAAAGTCGACACTCTAAGCATAATTTTCGCTTCCACCTTGCCTGGTGGTTTTCGTAGTTGAGCTTCCTCGTTCGTGTTGGGTCGGGTGTATATTGAGAAGTCAAGATATTACCACTCGACATCAAGGTGACTCGAAGTCACCTTGAACCCTTCTTCCTCTATATTTGGAGCCAGAGTTCTCTGAAAACTCCCTGGACTAGGTTACCTCTAAAGACCGATTTCTTCAAGAATTCAAGTATTTCCTATATTGTTTATGTGGAGAGAAATCGGTTACCTTGTGGAAGATATAAGGGAATTGAATGCAGATAGATCAGGAAATGACACATATTAAGCACTACCTTGGCGCCATCTAGCGTCGATGGTGCAAGCCTTTGCTGCAAGCCATTGTCAGATGGATACCAATGATGGGCGTCAGGAAAGCATCTTAAACGCTCGACAAATGTCCTTCGAATTCAGCATGTTTCGTGATTGAAAGGCACCTTAGCTGAGCGCCCAAAGGTGCCCATTATTGTACATTGGACTTCCAAAGACCTCTTTTAAAACACGTTGAACATTTTTGAAACCGTTTATGTGCTACTTGGGCGATGTCATATGAATGAAGCTTACAGGTTCCATTGGACCCGGGATTTTCCTCGGCACCCGATCATGTGAATGGAGCGTGGAAAATGGATGAGAATGGATGGAAGAAAGAAACATGTCAACACGTAGCACAGCGACGATCCGCAAATCGCTGTGTTTTTTTGCACGATGCGGCTCCCAAACAGTACACCTGTATTTTTGCCATCTACCAATGCGACTGCGATTCGGAAAAGTAATCCAACTCTTTGAAAAACTATCACTCTCGCCGACCTCCAAGCGTCGTTCGCGCAATCCTGCAAATCGGCATGCCGATTGCCTACCTCCCTTTCTCATGGCAGATTTGCAAGTTTCATTTCTCAAAGGCACATAATCAGATGGTAAGGAAGAGTTCTGTCGATCCCCCAAGTTCATATCTCTAAGCGCTTGGTCTGAAGAGCTGTCACACACACACAAGCACACAATTGTCGTTTGGCCTAGCTAGCGGCCAGAATCGCGCACGCTATATGTTTATTCTCCGGATCTCGGTTGCTTCGAGGTCCTCCGGTTCGAACATGCCATCAGATGTCTCTGTAATATTTCGCCCCCCCCCCCCTCCCAACCTCTCGGAGTGCCGCCTCTTGTTACACTCTCTACTCTATGGTTGCGGCTGTCGGATCTATTCTCGAGAACGTAGTAGCCCAACGGGGGGGTGTATGTTTTCGGATGACATAATAGGACTAAAAGACAAAATGGAGCCGACAGGTTGGTAGTGGTTAAAATCGGAATGAGAACCGTAAGTTGAAGGGTGACAAGATCAGCTTCCCGCACTAACGTGCAAGCGGCGGGCATTGCAAAGAAACCTCACATACCGACATGCGTGGACGGAAGAAGCATAGGAAACGAGTAGGGAGCCGGGGAGCCGAAAGGTGCGTGAACATATTTTGTCATGCAGGTCCGAGCTTGGAAGTAGTCGCTTCGACTACTTCGACTACTCCGAAAGTCGACTCCGCATAATGGAATACCGTTTAATAGAATACTCCGCTGTATGGAACACCATTACACGATAAATTCCGCCTTCCCCACCGGGTGCCACATTTGCCGCACGAAATAGCTCCCTCGGATTTTGCTGAAACTGGACGAATGTGAGACGTGGAACTTTCCGACGGTTCAAACTTTGCAACGATATCGGTTTCTTGGATCCGATCAGCAGGCGAGGAGTTCCTGGATAAAATGGCATCTGCATAACTGCTGGCATCGAGAAACTAGGTTTTAAGAGAAATAGTGAAAATATCGTCTGTGTCAGTGATTGATGAGATAAAAAAAATGAAGAAAACAACAATGTTTCATCATTACGACCAGAGACAAGGTCGAATGAATTCGGAAGTTTTCTCATTCGTGCTTCATTCGACGAGGTCTCGAGCATCAGAGGTCAGTCTTCAATCGCTTTACCCTTTACCATTCAAAGGACAGCGCCATTGATACGCCATTATGCCCATCCTCTGAAGGACAATTCCAGTATCAGAATAATGGAAGAGAAATTGTGGTCAAACACTAAATGCGCTCACAGAGAGGTGTTTGGCTCTGACAACGTGTTGTCCGCTCAACATAGATATGATCTAGCAGAGTAAGAAGTACCAGGAGTCGAGGTGAACGTTCATTTCCGATCCACTTTCTGCAGAAAGCAACCCCATGGAAAAATACTTACATAGGCAAATTCAAAACATTCGTTGATATTTCTTGGTTCCAAGGAAACTGGGTCGGGTGTATATTGAGAAGTCAAGATATTACCACTCGACATCAAGGTGACTCGAAGTCACCTTGAACCCTTCTTCCTCTATATTTGGAGCCAGAGTTCTCTGAAAACTCCTTGGACTAGGTTACCTCTAAAGACCGATTTCTTCAAGAATTAAAGTATTTCCTATCTGGTTTATGCGGGGAGAAATCGGTTACCTTGTGGAAGATATAAGGGAATTGAATGCAGATAGATCAGGAAATGACACATATTAAGCACTACCTTGGCGCCATCTAGTGTCGATGGTGCAAACCTTTGCTGCAAGCCATTGTCAGATGGATACCAATGATGTGCGTCAGGAAAGCATCTTAAACGCTCGACAAATGTCCTTCAAATTCAGCATGTTTCGTGATTAAAAGGCACCTTAACTGAGCGCCCAAAGGTGCTCATTATTGTACATTGGACTTCCAAGGACCTCTTTTAAAACACGTTGAACATTTTTGAAACCGTTTATGTGCTACTTGGGCGATGTCATATGAAGCTTACAGGTTCCATTGGACCCGGGATTTTCGTCGGCACCCGATCATGTGAATGGAGCGTGGAAAATGGATGAGAATGGATGGAAGAAAGAAACATACAACACGTAGCACAGCGACGATCCGCAAATCGCAGTGTTTTTTTGCACGATGCGGCTCCCAAACAGTACACCTGTATTATTGCCATCTACCAATGCGACTGTAATTCGGGAAAACAATCCAACTCTTTTAAAAATTATCACTCTCGCCGACTTCCAAGCGTCGTTCGCGCAATCCTGCAAATCGGCATGCCGATTGCCTACCTTCCTTTCTCATGGCAGATTTGCAAGTTTCTTTTCTCAAAGGCACGTAATCGGATGGTAAGGAAGAGTTCTGTCGAACCCCCAAGTTCATATCTCTAAGCACTTGGTCTGAAGAGCTGTCACACACACACAAGCACACAATTGTCGCTTGGCCTAGCTAGCGGCCCGAATCGCTCACGCTATATGTTTATTCTCTGGACCTCGGTTGCTTCGAGGTCCTCCGGTTCGAACATGCCATCAGATGTCTCTGTAATATTTCGTCTGTGTCAGTGATTGATGAGATAAAAAAAATGAAGAAAACAACAATGTTTCATCATTACGGCCAGAGACAAGGTCGAATGAATTCGGAAGTTTTCTCATTCGTGCTTCATTCGACGAGGTCTCGAGCATCAGAGGTTAGTCTTCAATCGCTTTACCCTTTACCATTCAAAGGACAGCGCCATTGATACGCCATTATGCCCATCCTCTGAAGGATAATTCCAGTATCAGAATAATGGAAGAGAAATTGTGGTCAAACACTAAATGCGCTCACAGAGAGGTGTTTGGCTCTGACAACGTGTTGTCCGCTCAACATAGATATGATCTAGCAGAGATTCTTCATGGTCCTCAGCTCCACTTGCAAGTAAAGGCTAGGTGAAAGACGTCTTTCGTTGGGGTACCTTTTTATGAATGTATCCGTTTAATTTTTTTAAGCAACTATAAAGAACCAAGGTTCCTTTGGAAATCAGCGTAACGTTAGAGAAATATTTTCTATAAAATATCAAAGACTTCCACCCTAGCCCGGAACATATCGAGTCAAAAACCATTTGAAATCGTCAAATGAGCCCAAGACAACGTAAGTGATATCAGCCCACGGATCACGATTGCCGAGGACAGATCGTTAGGAGAGACACGACGGAGAAAATCCAGATATTTTTCTTCCCTGGTCTCGATGCAGCAAGTCGGAGCGAATTTCGTCCACGGCGGGACGGAGAGTCCTCCGGATGGATGCCCCATATCCATCAACAATCCACTCGAGAAGAGCACTCTCAAGACGATTCACCACCGACTAGCCACTCGACATCGGAGAGGGCACTTTCAAGCCGATTCACAATCGAATAAGCCTGTCCACTCGACATTGGAAAGACATTCTCGCATCCCTTCACCGGTCACCGCGAGATAGTCATGGAAGCACTCGGTCGCCATTAGATGGGTATCTCTAAAGGATAATTCCAGTATCAGAATAATGTAAGAGAAATTATGGTCAAGCACTGAATGCACTCGCTAAGAGGCGTTTGTCCGCTCAACATGGATATGATCCGACAGAAAAAGAAATATCAGAAGTCGTGGTGAGCGTGCAGTTCCGTTCCACCTTCTGCAGAAAGGCAACCCCATAGAAAAATACTTACATGGGCAAATTCAAAACATTCGTTGATATTTCTTGGTTCCAAGATTTTTCAAGATACAAGATGGTGATATCAAGAGGTGATTACACACATTTCGATATCATATGTCGAGGTCGAGCGTTCCTTAATTTAGGGTTCCTTAATTCTAATCATCTTGAAGCTAAATAGTTTTGTCTTTTGGGTGATGAATGAATTCTGTAGTAAACTCGTCTAAGCGGGAAATAGGGATACTCAGAATCGTCTTTCGTAAATCCCTAGGTGTATCTTCCAAATTACATGAATCCCGGTTAATTGATCCTGGTATGTGCTTTTA